GATACCATTACCAGTCTAGAGAGCTGCAGCCTCTGTATGTACACTCACACAGGCTTTTATTCTGCCTCCTCCTTTCTTTCTTTGTTCCCATGCTGGGAAAAAAAAAAAATTAGTCAGAAGATGGCAATTCTTCTGCTAACAAGGTTCCAGCAGTATTCTTCTTAAAGAGTTATTTAAAAATTTCAGTTTCAACCTCAGCCCTGCCCTCTACTTGAAGGAAACTCAAGGCCTCTTGCAAGGATTCTTGGTGCATCATCGTGCTCATCAGGAAGAAAGCATATGTGTTTTTGTGGAAAATCTGCTGATTTATTTATAATTCTTTAAACAAAAAGGCAGCCAACATATTGTAAAATGAGAATGTTGTTGGGTTTTTCTTCAAACAGGCACTGGCAATCAATGCAGCCCGTCAGAAATACACGCCCAGAGCATTTTCAGGCAGAAACTGATCCCCCCCAGTCTGCGTTGTGGTTGGCAAAATGACGTTCAGCCCATAACTAGAGTGCACAGGCATGACTGGAATACAAATAACAATAATATTTTAAAAATTGTTCATACAGTGAAAAAAGCCCATTTCAAAACATAAAAACTGTTTGAAGCTGGAGTTTCATTTTTCTGCCTCCTAAAATAGTTCCAAAACAAATATGTTAAAAAAAAAGGTTTGGAGGAAATCTGTTTTCAAGGATAATTTCACTGAAATCAATATTAAATCTTAAAACATTTAATGGAAATAACATCTTCAGTGACAGAACTATTTTGACCGCACTTTCCAGTCCAGCTATATGCCAGTCTGCCATTTTTTATCTGCTTCATAATTCATCTTTGCCATCCTGAAATTAATCCTGTTAGGGATCAAAAGAGATCCAAAACCTGGAACAGGTTAGAACTTACCCCAATAACATCTTCTAAAAGATGCCTCTGTATCGTGGTGGTCTCATTTACCACGCCAGTATTTGACAGGCAGGAAGAGGGCTGAACAAACATCTATGGAGACCACACACTTCTCACTTTTGCAGGTTTTTTTTTTTTTCCAGTGAAGAACATGCTTCCACCAAGTGCTACAGTTACATCAGCTATGCAGGCACACAAGCAGTTTTCTAATTTCCTAGAGTTATGGCCCAAGCAGGCATTTTATCCTTTCTCCTTAATCCCATCCAACCATATTTGCAATCAGGAGAGTTCAGGTGATGGATTGCAGCCTGTCTGAATCCAAAGTAGTCAAATTAGCTATTAATGTTGTGCTTAATGTGCTCACACAAACAAGGTCATTGGTTGCATCGAGACTAATAGAAGATGACACACATTGGGACTGCACAGCCCAGGGGACTGCAAACAGGATGAAAAAGTCTTTGGTTTATTGCCACAACTTCAAAATCAAGCCTGATGATGCAGACATCCTACCATGCTCAGCAGTCCAGCTGGGATCCACTCACAGCACAAACCCAGGGGAGCACTCAGTCCCCTGTCACCTCAAAAAGAGGTGCTATTGGCTCAACTGCAGCCACATTTTGATCCCTGCCAAGATTAACCATCTTTCTTCCTGGCCCCCAAACACCGCTCCAAGTGACATTCATCCTCCCTCTTGAGATCAGCTAACAAAATCCATCAGCAGCAAGCAGCACAGAACTCAGGAAGTGGTGTAACACATCCAAAGAAAAACAGAAAGAGTTAATAATGCCATCAAAAAGATGAAGACATGTTCATCTTGGAAAAATACCAGCTAGTTCATCTGTGGGGAAATACTCCTCAGGACAAGTAGGAAAAGTGAAAGGTATTGGGTTCCTCCAGCAGGAACCTGGAGTTCTGCTTGGAAAGCTGGAGCCCACTAGGGCAAAATATCCCTTACCAGCCCACCTGAGGGACCAGGGACACAGAGAAGACCGCTCAAGCAAAGTAAAACACCATTTTCTATTAATAAGAGAAGGTGCTACACAAGATAACATGAAACACTTGGAATCAGTTTCAATTTCTCTACCCACCATTGCAAGGATGAGAAGTGACATCTCCTGGCTGCCACCAGGGCCCTCTCTAAGGGTTTTCATTGCCTAAACCTCTACATCAGCACTGTTTTAATAACTATAACAGTGAGTTCCTATTGAGAAGCTCCAGAAACAACTGTCTGGTAGTAATTTTATACCTGTTTTCCATGGCAGAACCCCCTGGCTCTCAGGAAACCATGGGATATTAAGTGTATCCCAGAGAAACAGGCAGATCCAGGACACGTCTTCTGCTGCAGTGGATGGGCAACTGCTCTGAACTGCTGCCCTCTCTACTTCCAAACCACAAACACTCAGAAAATGCCTTGCTGTTAGGGTACAATTTTAATAATGAATATTGGAGTTACAAGGCTGAAAAAGCAAGCTCCATTCTGAGAGGGTGTGATAATCCCACCTGTGGCTGTTCCCAGCACGCTCTCCTGCACCCTACCTTGAAGCACAAAAATGGGAAGCATAAATGGCCTGCTTGTGATGTTACATTATATGGCACAAGGTTTTGTCTTTCTTGAGTGAAGAGGTGAAAGAAAAAAACAAAACAAACCAAACCAAACACCAGGGCTTGAAACTGCAAAGAATTAAGCCTTAATATCAGCCAAGCTGGATCTCAGAAGCCTGCTTCCCTCTGAATTTCTCCTTGCTGTTGTGACGTGCTCACACTGAAAATTTTCCCCTGAGCAACTGCCTGACTAAAATACAGCACACCCTTACCATAAAGCCCTTTGTTAAAACATCTTTGCCATAAAGCTGCAAAACCTTGGCTCCCAAGTACATTAAATCGTTATAAACCTGCCTTCGTTTTAACCGCGCAGTATTTCAAAACACAAAGCGCTTCTTCTGAGAGACAGCACTTTAATGAGGAGAGGGGTAAAATATATAAACCAAACCTCATTATAGCATAATTTCCAGGAGACAAGCATGCTGTTATAAAAGGAATCCATGGCAATAGCATTTCACGTAGCTTGAAGATTTAATACTTTTAAAAAGCCACCGCTACTTCCAGCCTTTGGTGGTGTTTTGTTTTGAGCGTAAGAGAAACAGCCAAAATTATGGGCCCACTGTCAGCTATGTATTTTATATTTTGTAAATTGTTGCAAATGGTGGATTCAACTCGAAGGCATGCTCAAAAAAAAATGTAATGGAGTCAGTAAGAGTCTCACTACAAGTTATTGTGTATACTTTTTCCTTTAAACTTCTGCATTCTTAAAGGTTGTTGCTTTAAACACCATGATGGAGCATGGACAGGGTAAATTACCCAAACCAGATCCAATTCATACTGGATTGAAAGTACTTATAATGACACAGTTTGTTCATGTGTTAACAGTGAAGCCAAAGAAACCTATCACACTACAAGAAAAATCTGGAGTATTAACAGACAAATGAAAGTAATGGATACAACGCCATTTAATACCACCTGTCAGATAAATCAGGGTAACTGGCACATCAAAGGGACTGCAATTAGTTTCCAAAAATGAGAATACTCATTTTTCTTTAAATCTGAAACTTGATTGCTTTCTACAAAATGACAAGTGGATCAGCCTCCCCCAGCCAACGAGAAAAATGTTACTGGAGAAAACTGTTCTTCCTAAGAACAAATTATCTATCAAAGGAGCCTCCTGAATTACACCGGCCTACAAGACTTTTAAACTCAATCTAATAAGAATTGCCATTATTGATTACAGTTCTTCCACATTAGTCTTCCAGTTGTAACTTCTGAAATGAAAGCTTAGCAATGATTAGGTATTTACTACAGTCAGTAGAGAAAAATAGTGAAGTAAAAGATGACCATAAAGGCCACCAAAGAAACAATGTACCTCTTTTTTTTTTTGAGAGAAGGAAAATAAAACAAGCAAAAAACCCCAACCCCCACCCCTCAAATAATCCCATCCCAAATCCAACAACAAGCAAGGGGAGATGCACTTCATGGCAGCTTTGACTTAAAGCACATGTAACACTGATTGATGGATACTGAAAGCAGAGACACCTGTGGAAAATTAAACCCAAGCAAGCACCAAAACTGGGACAGGTTTTTTATGTTTCTTGGTCCTACTTTAGAAATCTATGCAAGAAGGATCAGAATTTCAGGAAATGATCATTCTAGCTATTGTCACAGATCTGGGTCAACAGCAGGGTAAAAGTTGACCTGTAATTGATGCCTATAACCTGGTTAGGATAAGCATTTCCTCTTATCTCTTTGCTGCAGCTTATGACAAATGATATTCTGGACTGAAGGGTGCTTATGCTCCCTGATTACCAGAAGGTTCAACACTTACTACATGGCTACAGAGATGGAGTGGCACTTCTGACTGCAGTTCTCAGAGAGGTATCTGAGCAGCACACAACACGCCAACCCTTTTCCTATATCCAACATCCATGATTTTGCCACTGAAGTCCTGTTTCCGATGTACTTTTTACAATTTTCATTTTTACTGATGTGACTCTTGTTTTCAGGTTTAGAGCAAAAGGATAATAGATTCCTCCTTCACCAACATCAATCTCTTGTAAATCACAAGAGATGCTTCCAGCTCTTACCACCTTGAGCATGGCAGAAGACAGCAGGCTGGACAAGTCTGAGGCAGCACGTCAGCGCACAAATTATAACAGGATGTCTGGTGTTAAGGTAACCCAGCCTAGCACGTGCCTTCCCTTAGCTCAACTTTAATATTTTTCTGCTTGGCTGTGCAACTAAACCTCAAGGAAGAAGACAGCTGCAGCAACTGCACATGCTACTTCTGTTTTACAGTCTTCCCACTTCCTCCATTAATAGCTGAGGGTTTGGGGTGCTAGAAACAAGAAGACTTATCACGAATGTGCAATGAGACCCTGAGCTAACAGGTTAGCTGACATGGAACTGTTAACAGTGAATTGGCTTGGAGACAGTGGGGAAAAAAAAAAGGGGGAAAAAAAGGGAGACAGAGTGAGAGAGACAGAGACAGCAACCAATTCAGCTGCAAGAAATCAAGCTAAATCAGTCCCAAGTGCCCATGTTGGAGAGACTTGATCTCATACCTTGCTTGTTATCAAGGCACTCCTGATACGAGTCAGCTCCAGTTCCGTTGCGGTCTACAGACAAAACAAAAAGTTTCATTCATATCAAACATAAATATTAGAAACGTCTCAAATGGCAGCCCTGCTGGAGCAACACGTTAGGTGCAAACAGCACTGCTTCCTCGGGAGGCCAGGCTGCTTGGCTGACAGAAGCTGTGAGTGGTCACACACAAGGTACAACAGACTGACACCAACCCACTGGGAGGAACTCCTCCTAGTCCTGGGCAGGAGGTGCTCCCAGCCCTGCCCATGTCTCCACACTGCTGATGGCAAAGGGAGGGGATTACAGCTCCAGCTGCTCCGAGTTCCTTGAGCACTTGGGAGGATGGAATACTTGGAGTTAAATCCATCATTGCACTGTTCTCTGTAGGCCCTATGAAGCACTGGTTTGAACCAGAAGAACTCAAACTACAGTCTGGAATAGATTTCTCTGTGACAGGTGGTGCTGTAGTTCTTTTTGGGTTTCGGTTGCTACATCATATTAAAGGCAGTTGAAGATACAAGAACATGCTTTCCAGATATTACTGTCCCATGGATGCAATGTAACTGCAGGTACCACTGAGGTTATCTGACCCAGCCAGCAGCAGGGGAGCTGCTCTGTGCTGTGAAAATGGAGAGAAGCTAAGACTCTTATACACAGGTGTGCTCCACACAGAGAAGAAAGCAGACAGCTCCCAAACACAACTGTGGTCACACGCGGCCTCTCACATCCAACATGGATATCACCTAACAAAGCCCTTCATCTGCATTAGAGGTTCAGTTAGATCTCATCACCTCTGTGTAAAAATGATTTCACCTGCAGGTTAACAGAATCAGGTTACAACCTCAAATGCAAACCAAAGAATTTTCCAGCACAGCTTCTGCTCCTGCTTTACAATTCAGTTCAACCATAAAAAATGCCTGAATGGTCCTTGGGAAAAAAAAATTAAATACATCTGTAAACCCAGGTAAAGGAATGTTCTTTCAGCAGCTTACATGCACCTTACACACCATGTTACGTATGAGGACTAAAGCCATTGAGCCCATGAGGTGTTTGCACAACCTCAAAAAGTGAGATTTTCTACATCAAATGTCTAAGAATGCACCTGGTGCTAAAATCAGTCCTGTGTGTAACTACCAAACCACGGCACATGCTCCTACCATAGCAAGCCCAATGGCACTGGAGACAGCTCCTCTACTAGAACAGATCCATGAGGTGATCACGATTAATGAAGGACCCACTCCACCAGGCTGAGCTGGGTGGCCAGGCTCTCCACAGCAGTATTTCAGCATCACCATCCAGGGAACCAGCACCACAGCAACGCATTTATTTCTTTCTAAATATGCTGCTCAGGGCCAGAAGTTTATAAATATTGTTCATAAGAGAAAAAAAAAGACACTAAGGAGAACTCTGCCACCCAGGCACCTACAAACAACTGCATTTCCATACCTCCAACAAGCAACTGATCCCTGACCATGAGGGCTTGCTGGCACTGCTCTCATGCCAAACACATTCCCTCATCAGCTGCCCCTCTTATCTCTGCTCAACCATCAACTGGTGATGGCTCCTTGAAGAGGAAGAGATCCAGATCCGAGTTAAAAGGCTTCACATTCAGCAATAGTATTTAATGAACAAAGAAGCAAAAATTGAAGTTGCCCCACTGTTTGTGTTGTGTAAATCGCAGATAATAGATCTCCCTAATCCTAATGAGGCCTTCCTATTAAAATCTTTATTAGCTTTCAGTTCTGCAGATTGCCCAAAGGCTCATCAGTTTCCCTATCTCTCAGTACCAAGATCTGCTTTAACTTTTACAAATAGCTCTAAGATATTTCTCAGCTTATCAGCATTGCCAAGCAGTCTGTCTTATCATTACTATTGCAGATAAAATAAATGAGCTCACGATGATATGAATAATGGCATTTTCTGTAGGCTGGTTTCCCATTCCATTTTCAACAGATTGTAAACTTAAGCACAAAAGAGAGAAAAAATAAAAAAGAAGACAGTATGTGTGTGTGGCTTTTTTTCCTTCCCATTTACCTTCAGCGCCTTAGAGCACAGGCTGCATTTTTAAGCTCACCTGATGAGAGCTAGTAATTAATTTTGAAAGGGAGCAGAAACACCTCAGCTCTGCTTTCTCTGAAGACCAAAACCCCAGTTACTTCTGGGATGTTTTTTCAGCTGCATTTATTGGAGAGAAGCAAGGTCTAAACCACGCTCTGCCTAATGAAGCCATCTTCATTAGTTTGCTCCTTTCCCTCGCAGCCTAGGAATACCAGTCAGGATTGGGAATTGAAATCATGAAAAGCAACAGAACTGCATTTGAATTAAAAGACTGAGCTACAAAGGTCTCCGACGGCTGCTCGGGGCTGATTAGCAGGAGGCGCGTGCGGCACCACTGCGGCACGGCGCGGATTTCGCGGCGCGCCTTCGCTCGCGGATAACGGCAAAGCGTCCACGGGAGCCCAGAGCCCCACACGGCTCTGCCTTCCCGTGACAGCCAGCAGGCAGGTCATGTTCTGGCAACCATTTTCTGCCTGGTCCCTGCAGCCAGCACTAGAGGGTTAAACGCTTTTCTGCTCCCCCCTGCAAATTCCTCGCCCTGTCACTGTATCAAGGTTATCTATTATTGGCAGTGACAGGTGAAAATTAATCTCCTAATTATTTCTTGCTGCGTAATCTGCACTGAAGGAGTAACGTAAAAGGATTACAGTACACCCTCTACGGAAGGCTTTGCTAGAAAGCCAATCATCCAGGGAGATAGAGGGGATGTGGGAAAGAGATATTTATGACGGATTTCCAACCATTTTGAAGGCGGAATGCACTATAACTTTATAACTGACAGCTCTGGAGTGAGGATATTCTTGCAGGTATCTTAATAGCCTAAACACTTTTTATTGTCGATTCCTCCAGGAAAAAACCCCTAAGATTTATATCCATTATTGTCCCTGATTCTCCTCTGGAATAGCAGTTACTGCAGGAACAGCATCCGTGTACAGATGTTTTTTACCCCCCACAGAAACATTACGGCAAACAATGTACCCAGACTGCTTCAACTCAATATTAAAAATCTTGCAGCTACCTTCCACAGCAATTTAACTGTAACAGTTTTATACAAGAACAAAAGCCAGACTGAGTACTTGCAAAAATAAAAGCATTTTTTGAAAAATCCCATTTTGTAAGCAATCTAGAAATATCTTTGGTAACAACACAACAGCCACCTTGAAATGCTGGCTTTGGGTAAACTCCAGCTCTTCTCTTACCACCCACCAGAAAAGGAGGTTTATTTTTATAGTGATCAAGATCACACATTTATCTTTAACCCTTCCCATGCAGCCATATAAGGTACAAATGGGTGTTTTCAAGAACCTGTTTTTTAAGTCCATGCCAACAGCACCATTCTAGTTGAAGTTTCGAAGAACAATCAATCACAGGTTGTGCTCAAAATTACATTAGCTACCTTGAGAAATGCTGTCACTACCTGTGCCTCTGAGATGGTTAATGCAGGGGTTCCTGTCTGTGAAGCCCTAACAGGACAGGCAGCAAGGAAAATCACCACTTGCAATCAAGTCCTGACACCAGTATCGCTCACGCTGATCTTCCACTTCCTTGATGGCAACGGTGCAGAAATGGTTTCTACATGGTGCAGAAACATCACTAATTCCTTCATGCACACTCTCGGTGCTTAAATCCAGCACCACACTCGTAACTTTTGGAAAGCCAAGCCCTGACACAAACCTGGACAGTAAGACACCCATCAGCAGCGAGTGGCCAGCACTGTGTTTCGTGCTTCCATGAACCAGGATCTCATGGCTGAGCACAGGTAAGTGACACTGGCATGAGCTGGGGCAGGATGGCACAGCCGAGCACAGGTCAGTGACACAAGTGACAGTGGCCTGAGCTGGGGCAGGATGTTGCAGCTGAGCACAGGTAAGTGACACTGGCATGAGCTGGGGCAGGATGGCACAGCCGAGCACAGGTAAGTGACAGTGCCTCGAGCTAGGGCAGGATCTCACGGCTGAGCACAGGTCAGTGACACAAGTGGCGGTGCCCCGAGCTGGGGCAGGATTTCATGGCTGAGCACAGGTCAGTGACACTGGCATGAGCTGGGGCAGGATGTCGCCCGCAGCCCCGCACCGCGGCGGGCACCGCGCCCCGAACGCCGCCAGGCTGGAGCGCAGCTGCAACTCCAGCGACAGAAGCCGGCCGATCCGTCCGAAGCACTGCTAAAGTCACCAGCGCTCGAGGTTTTAAATGAGCGGCTCAAATTAGGCAAATTCCCCAGCAGTGACAGAGGTGCGAAGGTTGTGCATCTTTTCCTCTGTTGGTTTTAACACCTCTGGGCCAGGCTGTGGCTCCTGGAGCCTCTCCGGACTCCGAGCATCAACAGTGCTGAAGGGCAGGTGTGTGGAAACGGATTATTTACCTCCTTAAGGCAACTGCTGCTAAAAGAGTAAGACTCTATTTAAGTAACTTTTAACATGCGCTCGCTTCTCCATCTCAAAGACAACTCCTAGGTGATCCTCAGGATATCACAAAGACTGTGAAAATATGTGTCCAGCTACCAAGTTTTGCTGAATCCACACATCACCCATATATTTCTATTTCTATATTTCTATATATTTCATTTTCATCAGCATGAGAGTAATGCAATTTGAGTTTCTCCCATTAAGGCTAGCGATTTACTTCTCCTAGAAGTAAATAGACAAACAGAAATAATCTAACAAAGCCTAGAACAGAACATAAGCCCTTAATGGTTTACCCTTGGTGTTAAGTAAATGAGGAAATTATTCACTAGCATCTCTCATTCTGCGGATGTTTCAATCCTGGAGTTACCTAATCTCTTACACAGTAGTTATGAGAACAAAAGAAATGTGTATGGAGGCAAAGCACCCACCTACTAACATATCAGTACTACTTCTAACAAGCCTGTTTCCCAGTAATATGTTTTCCTGATGGAAATCTGAAGAACAAATTCCTATCCATAGGCATTTTCCCCAAATGCTCCATCATCAACCTCATTATGTGATACAGAAAT